TACGACACCCATTTGAGATTATCAAGAACAGAGCTCATGAGTTTCTAATTCTTTGCAGCCGGACGTGACAGCGCCGGGAGTGAACATAATCGCGGCGTTCTCCGGCGCCGTGAGCCCAACAGGGGAGCCATTCGACAACAGAGCAGTTCCATACATAACAATGTCGGGGACCTCCATGTCCTGTCCCCATGTCTCTGGCATTGTCGGCCTCCTCAAAGCTCTCCACCCCGAATGGAGCCCTGCTGCCATCAAATCTGCCATAATGACCTCCGCTAGAGTTAGCGACAACACAATGAACCTCATGCTCGACGGCGGCTCCCCTATCTTTGCTCCAGCCACCCCGTTCGTATACGGGTCAGGGCACATCCGCCCCACTGGCGCCATCGACCCCGGCCTTGTCTACGACCTTTCCCCTAACGATTACTTGGAATTCCTCTGCGCCAGCGGCTACACGGAGAAGAACCTTCGAGTATTCACCGATGGCAATTTCAAATGCCCTGTTTCTGGTTCTATTTTGAACTTTAATTACCCTTCTATTGGGGTTCAGAACTTAACTGGGAGTGTCACCGTTTCTAGAAGGCTGAAGAATGTTGGCATGCCGGGGGTTTACAGAGTTAGAGTCCAACAGCCAGAAGGAGTTAAGGTTTCAGTGAAGCCAAACGTTTTGAAGTTTGAGAAGATTGGAGAGGAGAAGGGGTTTGAATTGACGATGACAGGAGCTGTGGCGGAGGGTCAAATTGGTTATGGTACGTTGATTTGGACGGACGACAAACACTTTGTTAGGAGCCCAATTGTTGTTTCTTCTAGCTTTTTCTGAACCCATTTTATTAGGAGGGTTACTAGATTTCTAAGTTTTGATTTTTTTGTTGCTGAAATCATATAGGTTTTTTTTTTTTTTTCTTTCCGATATGAATTAGTTCTTAGGAATTCTTTCTTTTTATTTTAAACATTCCCCTTTTTCCTTTTTAGAATTAGTTCTTAGGAATTCTTTCTTTTTATTTTAAACCTTCCTCTTTTTCCTTTTTAGTTAATCCATTGTTTTAGTTTAATCAATTATTGAAACAAACAGTTTCTTTCACTGTTTCATAAGTCTCTTTGTGGTACAGTGCCTAAATCTTTACGTCTTTCGTATAGATTAGATTTTATTCGACACTGAATTTTGTTATTGGGGCTTGCCACCTGCTCCCCTGTTATCAGGTCATCAACTTGACTTTCCAGCACTGGCAGGCGTCGGCCTCCATACATGGTCTTAAGACTTTGCGGATGGTAATTTTTCTGCTACCATCATGTTAGGCCTTTTGAGCTTATTGTATTTTAATCGAAGAGAGGTCACCAAGAGATA